ACTAAAGCGGCTCATTTCTTTCCTTGTAAAATTAGCCATTCTCTTGAAAAGCTTGCTGAGTTATATGTTAAGGAGATTATGAGATTGCATGGGATACCGGTGACTATTATATTAGATAGAGATTCGAGGTTTCGTTCTAGATTTTGGCAAGGTCTGGATAATGCTTTGGGAACACAATTGGGTTTTAGCACATCTTATCATCCACAGACAGACGAGCAATCAGAGAGGACTATTTAGACATTGGAGAATATGTTTCATGCTTGTGTTTTGGATTTGAAAGGTAGCTGGGAAAAACATTTACTTTTGGTGGTGTTTGCATATAACAATAGCTATCACTCCAGTATTGATATGTCCCCTTATGAAGCACTGTATGGTAGAAGATGTAGATCACCTATTTGTTGGGATTAGGTAGGAGAAAGGAGGTTGCACGGTCCTGAGATAGTGTAGATTATGACTGAGAAAATTCAACAGATATGTGAGAGGCTTCATATAGCTCAAAGCAGGCAGAAGTGCTATGTCGATAATAGAAGAAGAAAGTTGGAGTTTGAAGTCGGCGATCATATTTTTTCCTTAGAGTATCACCTACTAAGGGAGTGATGAGATTTGGAAGAAAGGGCAAGTTGAGTCCGAGATTAGAGTATCACCTACTAAGGGAGTGATGAGATTTGGAAGAAAGGGCAAGTTGAGTCCGAGATATATTGGACCTTTTGAGATTTTGGAGAAGAGATTTGGAAGAAAGGGCAAGTTGAGTCCGAGATATATTGGACCTTTTGAGATTTTGGAGAAAGTTGGATCTATAGCATACAAAGTTGCATGCCTCCAGCTAGAGTTGGCTAAAATCCACAATGTTTTTCATGTATCAATGCTGAGGAAGTGTATACTTGATCCGAGTCACGTATTGAATTATGAGCCTCTTGGGATCAGGGAAGATTTGATATATTTAGAGTATCCAGTTAGAATTTTGGACCGGAAAGAGCAAGCATTAAGGTCAAGAATTGTTAAGTTAGTGAATGTTTTATAGAAAAATCATTCAGCTGAAGAAGCTACTTGGGAGCACGAAGATGTGACGAAGGAAAAATATCCTAATTTATTTGATGACTCAAGTATGTCCAAGTTTTGAGGACAAAACTTCTATTAAGAGGGATAGTATGTAATAATCTTAAGTTTTATTTGGCAATATATATAAAGCAAAGTAAATGGACTTTAATGCATAATTTGTTTGAGGATTCTAATATCAAAAAGGACTCTTATAAATACCTAAAAACCCTACCCCATCTATTTTCTTCTTTGTTTTCCCGTCAGCCTACATCTCTTACTTCCGTCCCTGTCTCGCAACTCAAATATATAAAAAAAATCAAATCTGGGTTGAAAGGGAGGATGTGGTGATTGGATTCAACTCTACACAAGAAATAGGTCTTGCTTCTATATCTAATATTTTTGGTAGAATATTATCTATTGTAGATGAAGACTATGCACCAATCTTATTTTGGGTTATTTAGATCCTCTTCTAGGTGATGCTGAGCACGACTTAAGCGTCAGACCTTGTTTAACTTTGGCCATGGATAATTTTTTTTTGATTCTGCACTACATAGTTGCAGTCTCTCGTCCATTTTATTTATCTTGGCAAGTTTGATGGGCTAAAGCCCAAAAGGAGCTTAGTTGTTATGTAGTGCAGAATGTGATTATATGTTATCAAGTTGGGTATCTTTCTTTGATTAAAATAAACTACTTATTATAGTGGTGATCTTGTAATTGAAAGTTATTAGATATTTGACTATTTTGACCAGAGGCTACAAGTTATGTTACATAGGATGCAAACCAATATTATAAAGTAACCTATGAATATTCGAAGTTTATTAATTAACATAATATAGATGAATGGCTTAATATGTGTTAATGTTTAATAGGATGTTTGTATTGATGACTATGTTTATATGAATTCTTTAGGGGTTTCAAGTGGCCTGGAGGAGGCATCGTGACTGATATTCTGATAGTCTTCAGGTTTATGTAAGTAGTGAATTTGTACATTAATCACTACGTATTTTTTATATAAAAGTACATGACTATATGTAAGTTTATTCTGATGGATTATACCCTTTGTATGGTTGCTCGCATACTAATTATCGATTGGATGAACGCACGTGGTTATTTGGTGTAAGTCTACACTTATTTTCTTTGTCAATTGTTATGTCTTTTCATATAGTAGTAAGTTGAGATGCATATGTGGTTGATTGATTTCACTATTGGTTGGCCTTTGGCATTTTTGTATAACGTATATAGTTTTACAAACATTGTTTAATTTTCTTAAAGCATATGCATCTCAGGTCAATATACAGATATATGTCGGATATAAGCAAGTTATTAAAACAGGGCTCAATGTGCCTCTATGAGGTTTTTATTTTAGCGCTAAGAGCCCAAGTTTGGGTCTCACCGTCCTAACCACGAGCTTTATAATAGTGGGGTTTGCCAAGTCAACCGGAGTATCGAATCGTTGACCGCATTGAGGCGTAGCCTGCTTATTTCCATTGCATTTATACATTTTAAAAATGTTGCATTATAAACTTTTACTATTTTAGTATTTTACGTATCAAGTCAATTTATTTTAGTTTTGCAAAACCAGTTTTAAATGTATGAATTTATCCACTTATTGAGTTGTGAACTCATTGTGTTGTTTTCATTCTTTTTAGAGACTCTGGATTAGGTGGAGTTGGTGATTTTTTTCAAATTCTTAGAATGGAGCAAGAAATATAATTCGAGATTGTTATTGTCTTCTAGGTGAATGTTAAATAAAGTCTTTGATGTTTAGTTGATGAATTGAGAGTTTTGTAATAATGCGATTCTTTCCTTTAGGTCGAGTTTTATTTCAAGTTGAGGAATCTTTTTTTATCAAGTTAATTAGATTAGTATTGACTTTTGGGATTATAGAGAATATTTATTGTTGGTTTTAGTTCAATGAAGAGATTATTTTGATGGTCTTTTAATGTATGAATATTTTGGAGGATTTTTCACAGGTTTAGTCTGGCTCCAATATTCCTTTTAGCTTCGGAATTTGGGTCGTGACATCAAATGCCAAATATATTAGAAAGATGGTCCTTAATTGAGGTTAGATGGGGTCAATTATCAAAAAACTTAATTGAAAAGTAGGTTAGGTGGTTGGTTGCAACAAAAAAACACTTTAAAGATAGTTTATATATAACTTGAAAATAAAAGATGGTTTATATAGAATGACCTTATTTTAAAAATGGTTTCTATGAAAAAAAACCCTTATTTTCAATCTCTTGTGAATGATTAACTAAATTTGTCCCTCTCCTTTAATCTAACCTTCTCTTTTAACCCTCGGTCAAACAACACCATGTGATTGAGTATAATATATATAAATAATATAAATAGTAGATATTAGAAAAAACCCCTTAACATGGGATGAATATCGAAAAAATTCCCTTAATTTTTATGTTTGGTTGTATGTTTTTACCATGTAAAAGGATGGAAAGTGTAAAAAAGTGGGTCCCAATGTCAGCTTTCATCACTTTTAATTGTTTGTTTGTAGTTGTGAAAATAGTGGATTTCATAAAAAAAAGACATGATTTTAGGAGAAAGCTGACATTGAAGTCAGGAAAAAATAATAAAAAATAATTCTAACCAATATGATCATTTGAGTAGGGACCACTTTTTACACTTTCCAAACAAACAATTAAAGTTATATTTACAAACCAAACAAGCAATTTATGATTCCAATGGAATAAAAAACAAACAAAGAAAAGTATAAAAGTAAAATTGATGAGGTGGACAACAACTTTCCAAGTTGTGTCATAAATACACAACTTTACCAACAACAACCAAACAGCCCCTTGAAGTTTTTTTTGTTGGGGTGCGGTGGGGGGTGCTTTTTTCTGTTGGATATTTATAGCCTAATATAAATATAGGTATTTATTTATTTGAGATAATGTGTAAATTCTCTATTAAATTGAGAGTAATCTGTTGCTGTTGGTCCCTATGATAACGTTTGAACAAAGTCTGGTGGGTAATTCTTCACGTTTTCATTAACCAGTTTAATTATTTTTGTTAAAATCTTGCAAGTGGTAACATTTTCTACTTCTATTTATGGCTTCCCCTATATCTTGTATGGTTGCCACTTGAGGCCCGCGGTTTGTCATTTTGGATCACGATGGTTTCAAAGTAGGACGCTAGGAAGCATCGTTTTCTTCAGCGACTCAATTTTATAAATGACCTGCAGAATGCGTGCACGCCCACGTCTATCTTCCTTCCTTCTTGATCAGCAGCAGTAATTAATCCTCCATGGATCCTCCTCCGCTTCTCTTCCTTGTGCTTCTTTTAACCGTTTCCGCTCCCCCCTGCTCAGCAAACCCGAGCCCCCACAGTAACCTCACCGACCTCGAATCTCTGCTGGCCTTCAAGGCTAACGTCGCCGATCCACTGGGCGTTCTGTCCTCCAACTGGACCGCCAACACCCCCTTCTGCAGCTGGATTGGAGTCACCTGCGGCCGAAGGCACCACAGGGTCACAATGCTCGACCTCTACAACGTCACCCTCCAAGGAACAATCTCCCCTCGTCGGTAACCTCTCCTTCCTCTCTCTCCTCGCTCTTGGCAACGCCACTCTCAGCGGGCCCATACCCGACACCCTCGCCCGCCTCCCTCGGCTCCAGACCCTCGTCCTCCAGAGGAACTCCCTCTCGGGCTCCATCCCCCCCGACCTTTTCAACGTGTCCTCCCTCGTCGGAATCTACTTCGCTACTAATGACCTCTCAGGCTCTCTCCCCGCGATGAACAATGAAAGCGTCAGCAGCAGCACTACCCCACCCCCGCTCCAATTCATTGCGGTCGGAGACAATCAGTTAACCGGCCAGATCCCACCTAGCTTCGCTCGTTTCTTGAACCTCGAGGTTCTTTCGTTGCCAGACAACAGCCTCAGCGGAACCGTGCCAGCTGATCTCGGCTACCTGCAGCAGCTGAGGCTGTTGTATCTCACTCAGCCTCAGCGGAACCGTGCCAGCTGATCTCGGCTACCTGCAGCAGCTGAGGCTGTTGTATCTCACTGGTAACAACCTCACTGGGAAGATCCCACCTTCTCTTGGAAAACTCGCGAACCTCGAGAAGCTGGAAATTTCTATAAACAACTTGGAAGGGGAAATTCCCCAGGAATTGGGAAATCTATCAAGCCTACAAACGTTTGAGCTCGGTTCGAACCGGCTGAGCGGCTCGATACCCCTGGCCCTCTTGAATGCTTCCATGATCGACTTTTTTGAGCTGGCCTCTAACCATCTCACTGGATCGGTGCCTCCTGCACTCGGACAGTCCATGCCGTCGCTCAGTGTTTTAAACGTTGAACGCAACGAACTGACCGGTGGCCTGGACTTCATCGCTTCCCTTTCCAGCTGCGGCAATTTACAGAGGCTCGACTTTGAATACAATGAGTTTGACGGCTTCTTGCCCGATTCTGTTGGGAATCTTTCAAAGGGTCTTGAGTATTTTAGCTTCGGAATAAACCATATCAAAGGAAACATTCCTGCGGCTTTAGGCAATTTGAGTGGGCTTCTACATCTAGATCTTGGGGATAATGAGATTGTCGCGGCAATACCTGCATCACTTGGCAAGATTCAGAGCCTTCAGCAGTTGTACCTTGGCAATAACCAAATCAGCGGGTCCATTCCAGTTGAGCTTGGCCTTTTGACAAGCCTGAGTTTTCTGTATTTGAGTGGGAACAAACTATCAGGAGCTATACCAGATTCATTCGGCAATATAACTGGTCTTCAAAACTTACTACTGTCCACCAACGCATTATCGTCAAAGGTTCCCCAGAGCTTGTGGAGCTTAAGAAGCCTGGTCGAATTATCCCTATCCCAAAATTATCTGCATGGTTCGATTTCTCCTCAGGTAGGCAACTTGAACACGCTGGACACGTTGGATCTATCTGAAAACAAGTTTTCAGGTAACATCACTAGTTCTCTAGGGGAGCTTCAGATGCTTACATATCTTGATCTCTCCAAAAACTCTTTCATGGGTGAGATACCACAATCATTTGGTGGATTGATCAGCCTCAAGTATTTGAACTTGTCGAATAATTTGCTATCGGGAGACATACCGAAATCCTTAGCAAATTTACGTTACCTTGAGATTCTTAATCTCTCATTCAACATGCTTGTCGGACAAATTCCTCAAGGTCGAGTTTTTTCAAATCTCACAGTATCATCTTTGGAGGGAAACAAGGGATTATGTGGTGCGCCTCGGCTCAATTTTTCACCTTGCTCTGGAAGAATTGTTGGTTATACTTCAAGAAGAAAACTACATCTACTGCAATGCATCCTTCCTATTATTTCTGTATTAGTTGTCTTAAGTTGTTTATTTCTCATATTTGTAATTCATCGAAGAAGGAAGACAAGGAATTCGGCTGCTACAGATTTTCAACCTCTAGGTGAACATAGAGTGGTTTCCTATCACGATTTAGCTCGTGCAACCAACAAGTTTAGTGAAGAAAACTTACTAGGCAAAGGAAGCTTTGGTACGGTTTATAGAGGACGCCTTGATGATGGCTTGATTGTGGCAGTGAAAATCTTGAACATGGAAGTTGAAGGGGCGACGAAGAGTTTTCATGCAGAATGTGAAACTTTGAGTAGTGTCCGACATAGAAATTTGATCAAAATCATTAGCACATGTTCCAGTTTAGACTTTAAAGCTCTAATCCTCCAGTTCATGCCAAATGGTAGTCTTGAGCAATGGCTGCACTCCGAAAACCGGTGCTTGAATCTGCTGCAAAGATTGAACATAATGGTGGATGTGTCTTTAGCTCTCGAATATCTCCACCATAACCATCCGCAAGTGATACTGCATTGTGATCTCAAGCCAAGCAACATTTTGTTGGATGAAGAAATGGTAGCGCATGTTAGCGACTTCGGCATTGCTAAATTATTGCTTGGTGATGGTAGATCCATAGCATCAGCAAGTGCACCAGGCACTATAGGTTATATTGCTCCAGGTAAGCAAATTATTCAAACAAAGTTTAATTGAAAAACTCATTCAGTACTCTTATTTCTATAAGAAAGAAATCAGAGCTTCATCCCTATAAGTTTTTTTTAGGAACCAATTTTAACCTGAAAGCTATAGCTACTAGGGATTGGTCCCAACTCCTATTTTAAACTCACTGCTCTTTCTTATCCTATCCGATGTGGGACTATACTAACATATTAATAACCTCAATAACTCCCCCTTAATTTGTGAGTATATATAGTTCAATCATTAACTACACTTTAATCTTCCATGGAATTCACTAACCTTTTGCAGTACTTCACTAGGCTAACCAATTCACTAACCTTAATTTGTGAGTATAGTTCAATCTTTAACTACACTTTAATCTTCCACAGAATTCATTGGCATTTTGCAACACTTCACTAGGCTAACCAATTCACTAACTCTTGCACCACTTCGCTCATGGGCTAACCAGACCATGCATTGAACACATGACTATCAAACGTCCATAGTATTTTCCACTACTTTACTCGCGGAGGCTAACCATACTATATTATTTCTACGAGCATCCATGGGTTCTCCCGGCACTTTCAGGCTTCATCTTTTTGTTTTTTAATCACTTGGATATGTCTGTCCAAACGAACCGGCCCAGCTCGGCCCGGAAAACTGGGCTGGGGTCGGGCAAAACCGGGGCCCGGACCCGGTTGGCCTGGGCCGGAGCAGTCCGGGCACCACGCCGGCCTAGTTTTTTTATTTTTTTTTGTTAAAATTTTTAAATTTTTATTTTCAATAATACATAGCAAAAAATTAAACAAAATTTTAATAAAATCAATCATATTATTAATCTTTTGTAATTACATATTTTACAAATACAAAAAATCATAAAAATTAAAATGATAAAAAAAAATTATTAATAATTAGTTAATCATATAAAGAACCATAATTTAACAATTGACTAAAAATCTCTACATATGAAAAAACCATAATTTAATAATTAACTAAAAATATCTACATATGAAAATGATCGGGCCTAGTCAATTTCATTTTTTTCTTTTTTTTAAATACTAAAAATTAGATAAATCTTATTATATTTAAATAAGTTTGTATTAGTATATACTTACAAATTATTATATAACTATATATTATATATACATATATTATATGTAATATATTATATACTTATAAGTTATAACTTGAGAGACAGAGAGAATCACATAAGTATATATTACTTATTTATAAATGTGTATTATATAGTTATATATGTATTTGTTACATAATTAAATTATGCTTTTTTAAATATAGTTATACAATTTACTTATATGATATACTTTTATATATATTAGATGAAATATACTTATATATTATTATCCTTATACATTTATATAATATACTTATATAACTGTAATTCTATAATATACACATATAAGTATACTTATAACTACATTATATATATATATAGAGAGAGAGAGAAAAAAACTTATGTCAACTTAAGTGGACCATCCACCAAAGTTTCTATCCATTGATGATACCTAGAGATTCGTGCATCACATGAAAAGACTTTTCATCAATGGATAGAAATTTCATTGCTGAATCTATTACACGTTTATCGATTACAGATTTAAAGTAAAATTAGTCTTTTTATAAGACTTTCTTACACAATAAAAAATAAAAATAAAAAAAATACAACTCTCTTCAAACAAACGCAACGGGTGTTTATCGCCTGCTGCTTACGTGGGATCTTGACCTGTGACGGGGATGTTGATATCCGTGGACCACTGTCGATCAGATCTGATTGCTAAAAAATTGGACAGAGCTTCGTTGATTCGCGAATGAATCAAGAAACCGTAGCGCTTATCTCGGCAACGGTGAGATAATTGCTCTTCTTAAGATTATCGCAACGGGATAATCTTAAGGAACGGACCCGGGGACTGTAGATCTGACGAGCTCCTCTTCTTTATGCTGACGAGCTCGATCCGATCTCTCCTCCTCCTCTCTGAAATTCGTGCACCTCCAGTCTTCAATCCGGCAGGACTTCGCCTAATCTCCAAAATTCCATATCTAGAAAAATGAAGGCCTGAGGCTTCTATTTATAGGCTCGAGGGGTTCGGGTGGTTGAAATAGCATAACGGCCCCATTTTAGGCCTGGAGACACCCCTGGGTGTCTCGGCCTTGGCCGAGACACCTTGGGGTGTCTCGCTTGTGCCGAGACACCTCGGGGTGTCTCAACTCAGGCTGAGACGTTCCGTTTTGTACATTTGTCCGTTTCTGCCGTAACTTCTTCGTCCGGACTCGGATTTGAGTGATTCAAAGTGTGTTGAAAAGCCGGCGAGGAGATCTATAAGCTCCAATGATTAGGTCATTATGGAATAAACTGAGATACGAGAGGTGTTTCCCCTTTTGTAAGCGACGCATGGCTCCTGATCAGTTCGTATCCTCGTTATTCTGAAATTCCGTTACTTTATGTAGTTCGTCGATTCACTTCAAGTGTTCATCGACGTCAATGAAGATTCTGTGACTTGCACAGTGACGTTCCTCATCTCCTCCTAGCTCTGAGCTGCTCACGGAGACCTATAGGTAATTTTCGATGCCTACAGATACCCCCTCCAAAGCGTTCCAGACTCGTTTCTTTTATAGAAGAGGCCGAAATACTTTGGATGTGATTGGTCCAGCCTTCGATCGGTGTAAAGGACCTTTAATTAGCTTCAACTCTTGGCTCCTTCGATTTTTAGTCTATTCGATGCTTTGACGAATAGCTGAAGTCCTTCCGGCGCTGCGTTTATCGCCTGGCCGTCGTCGGAGTCTCGAGTCTAAAACTGATGAGTTGAGTTTGGATCGTGTCATTGAGTTGACTTAGAACTGACTACCTACGTTGTATCGTGTTGACTTAGGATTTCAGATCACTGTAAGTTGACTTTTTCATCGCAACACGTTGACTGGCGTTGACCTAGGATTACGCGTTGACCGGCGTTAACCTAGGGTTTCGGATCACCCGTCGTTGACTTTTAGTCGTAACGCGTTGACTGGCGTTGACCTAGGGTTACGCGTTGACCTTAGGGTTTAAATCGTCGTACGTTGACTTTTGTCACAACGCGTTGACCAGCGTTGACCTAGGGTTACGCGTTGACCGGCGTTTGACCTTTGTCACAACGTGTTGACCGGCGTTTGACCTAGGGTTACGCGTTGACCGGCGTTAACCTAGGGTTACGCGTTGACCGGCGTTGACCTAGGGTTTCGGATCGCCTGACGTTGACACAGTTTATACTCGTACGTTTACTGGAGTATACGCAGTTTAAGCTCTTAAGGTATTGGAGCATGGTGGTCCCAAGTGTTGGGGTTACAGGACCAACTGTTAAAGCTGATTCATCTGCATGTGTGGATCTTATCTCAATGTTGTTGGATAATCGAGTCACGAGACCAACTAACGGAGCTGATGCATCAATGACTCGCATTTATAGAATTTTTGGCAAATTCTCAGCCATCAACGGGTTTGATGAGCCTTTACCGACTACCGTTTGAGTCGGGCTAGCATGCGGATTGTTTAAGTCCGTTCCGCATGTGACGTTAAGCTAAAAGAGTTAACCCTTTTAGTGCTACGATATTGAATACGTAGACTTCGTCTTTCTCCTGTGAAAAGACTAAACAGCGACGTGTATCAGATGTTGACTTAGGATTTTTGGCAAATCCTCAGCCCTTAACGGATTTAACGTGCTCTTACCGATTATCGTTTGAATCGGGCTTACATGCGGATTGTTTTAAGCCCTTAACGGATTTAACGTGCTCTTACCGATTATCGTTTGAATCGGGCTTACATGCGGATTGTTTTAAGTCTGTTCCGCATGTGACGTTGTGCTAAAGGAATAAACTCCCTTAGACTTGATGCTATGACTTTGTATACGTAGACTTCGCCATTGTTACGGGAATAGGCTACCCGGTAACGTGTGTTAGACGCTGACGTATCCCTACTTAGGCTTCAGGATAAAAGTCCCCAGACTGGAATTCCGGTGTCTTCTTCGATTGGAGAAAGACTAAACCGGCAACGCGTGTTAGGCGTTGACTTATCCCTACTTAGGATTCAGGATAAAATTCCCCGTGCGTGTGAAACACGGATTTTGGTGTTATGAATAACAACCTACCACAATGTCGAATATGTGGCATTTTGTCCCTTTTTTATGGTTAAGAACTAACTGGCAACGCGTGTTAGGCGCTGACTTATCCCTTCTTAGACTTCTGGATAAAATTCTCCAGACTGAAATTCTGGTGTCTTCTTCAATCGGTGAAAGACTAAACCGACAACACGTGTCAGGTGTTGACTTATCCCTGCTCAGGATTCGGGATAAAATTCCCCGTACCTGTGAGGCACGGATTTTGGGAGTTGAAAAAGTGGTGTCTTCTCTTGGGGTAAAGACGAACCCGAAATGGGAGAGGAAGAATTTTATATTCTATCTCCCAACACCGAAGAGGAAGAATTTTATATTCTATCTCCAGTTGAAAATGAGATTGAGGTGGGATCTCCACCCCCAGAATCCGAAAAGGTGAAACTAGAAGTGAGATCTCTACTCCAAGAATCGAAAAGATTCAGATAACTCTAACTGTCGGAAGGTTTGATTACCGAACTAAAGATGAATTTCTCATTTATCGAGAGTGAATTATGGTTTTGGTCCTAACTGTAGGAAGGTTTGACCAAATGAGAGTTTGAGATGACCCTAACTGTAGGAAGGTTTGATCACTCGATTTGAAAGTGGACCTCTCGTTCATGACCCTAACTGTAGGAAGGTTTGATCACTCGATTTGAAAGTGGACCTCTCGTTCATTAGAGGAATCGATAGGGGATTTTAGTTTTGGCCCTAATTATAGGAAGGTTTGACCAAATGGGAGTGGGAGTATAAATTATAGTGGGGGTGTTGACTTGTACAAATCACTCAAATAGGGTTCCTGGTGTTAAGTGATAGGGACTTAACACGAAGGGGTTTGATAATTTGTCAAGGATGAACAGACAGATTAAAATTCTAA